CACACACACACACACAAAAAAAAAAAAAAAAAAAATAATAATAATAATAACAATAATAATAATAATAATAATTGTCCGCGGAGAAGTAAACGAGAACCCATCGCAGCACAAGCAGAATAGTGATGAAAATCAAGACAGCTTCGAACACGATCGTAGAACTTCAGAGCGGGAAGATCTTCCCGGAAAGGGAACAGGGAATCTAGAGCTGCACAGGGTGCAAGATGGCCGAGCGCCCTTCGCAAAACGGCTACGCGCACGGGAAGCACTGATGGGGGTTCGCTAGCTCGTGTCCTCCGTCGGGGAGGAAGGCGGGATAACGCCCGAGAACGTGCTGCAAACCGAAGTAAGTAGACATATGAAGGGAGGGAGAGGGAGGGCGAGAGAGTAGGCAAGTCTGCAGCAGGAGGGCATTTGCTGTAGGGAACCCCCATGCTCAATGATCTGGATAGACACAAAGGGAAGGAGAAGGGAGCGAGGGAGATTGAGAGTAGTAGACAACCCTGCACCATGAAGGGCATGGGTGTAGGGAACTCGCATTCCCGTCGGCAAGGCGAGGATGTTAACCGAGCTAGGAACACACATTAACGTAAAGAGGGGGAGGAGGAGGAGGAGGAGGAAGGGACAGTGGACGTAGACAATGCCCACAGCAGGAACGGCACTACAGTAGGGAATTCATATTCCCCTCGGCGAGGCAACGATGCTGGCACTGATGCTATGCCAAGAGGACGCTATAACCTCACATGTGTATCATCATACCGTCATGTACTTTCAGTTTCTATTCCTTGTTTCATCTCCTGAATACTTATTGGCGTCTTTCAAGTCATGATTAAACACATACACATGTATATCGGCTGCAGATCGATGCATCCACAATGCGGTAACGCGACTCGTCCCCTCCCAGCTCTCGTTCATGCCCACATTATGCTCCTCCCTGCTGCTTTTTGCCGAGGATGAATTTCTCCCTTCGCGCTTGGGTGCGGACGCTGTCTGAAGCGCCTCGTTATGTGTGCTCTTCCGTCTGTCAAAGGTTGCGATCCGATTTCGGACATATGTGTGCTCTTCCGTCTGTCAAAGGTTGCGATCCGATTTCGGACATACTCTCCCTACGACTCTAAAATCAGGTACCGGTTCGGTCCCAAACGTCTTGGTGCGAGTATGCCCTTAGTCATGGACAACAAGGAGAGAAGGGAGAGGGAAAGGAGGACATCGAAACACACACACACACACACACACACACACACACACACACACACACACACACACACACACACACACCGGGTTCAACCTCCTGATCGGTTGGTGAAAGTCCGACGAAACAGTCTAGCAATGTCGTGAGTTTTTGTATATAGCGAACATGACAATACACGCACACACGCGCGCGCGCACGCGCAGGATTCATACACACACGCACACCCCACACAGAGCCGTTATTGACAGGGGTCCGAACTAGAAACGACGCAGGGTGGTTGGGCAAAACCGACCACTTGTCTCAAGGGTATAGCTAGGGCAACGTGCTGACACGTTCTCCAAAACACATCCTGCGACTGTCGGATTCAAACCCCTGATGAGTCGTTGAAAGTCCGACCAAACAGTCTGTGTGGAGGTCTGCTTAGCGAATATGAAGCACACACATACCGATCACCAACCTGGATTCGTTCGAACTCTTGAAGCACATCAGGAACCTGCATGCGTTCAAACTCCGTCGGCCACGTCAGCCACCGCCGGTTCGTTCCGCCCGTTCGCGATGTTTGCCACTCCGCCCTTCTTTACCCAGCACGTTTCACTTCTTCCCTTAGGCAGACCAAACTGCAGTGGATATCGAACTAACCACTGACACTTCCACTCCGGCAAAAAAAAGAGGGCTTTTGGGCCTGTTGGTAAGGGGCGCAAGCGTGGGTTCAATTCCCATACTCGCGTACGTGCCTGGGCGTCCTTGGTATCCTACCATGTAGGATTAACCCGTAGGCCCTCCCATCCAGCATTGGCAGGATGTTCGTAAATATTGTCGGGTGCTATGCAACGACGAGAAGGGGATGCTCTCCCCTCAATGCTCATACTGTACCCGCTCCTACCCCAGGGAGAGGGCTACGCTTGGGCACAGTTCGCTCGAATGCCCGATGGTCTCCCAGCTGTGGAGTTGGTGGGATGCTGCTTGGCACTACCTTACGGACGAGCATCTGCCTTGGGACACCCGCTCCCTACTATTAAGGGAATTTGGAATGAATCTTCATCCAGAACATGAAAATATTTAAATATACACTACCACACCTTTTTTTTTTTTCTTTTTTTTTTTTGCATGTGTGTGTGCGAGCGAGCGAGAGAGAGAGAGAGAGAGAGAGAGAGTGATTTTCATCGACAGGACAAACAACACACCGACCAACAGGTAAGTCTCCAACTCCGCAGCTGGGCGCATGCTACTTTCATTGATAGGATGAGCAAAATCGAATGAATCATCTGCTAGAACAGGGAAAGCAAGACGAAGGTTGCAGAAAGCGGGCGGGATACGGCAAACCAACCGGGCGCGAGGTGAAGCAACACGACAACACAATGACAAGCCGGCGGGCGAGCGGGAGAAGAATGTGAAGCAGCTCAAGAGCGGGTGGACGCAATACGAAGGGGCAACGGACCCGATGGTCGTAAAGCAAGCCTTCCCAGCCCGCGCTAGTTCGTAGGCCCGACGGTCGGAAGATGTCCTCAACCCGCGCCAGTCCCTACGGTTCGCAGACATCCCCAGCCTACGCCAGTCTCGACGGTCGACAAACCTCCCCAACCCGCATCAGTTTGTGGGCCTGACAGTGTGGATTTTCATATCTTTTGTCTTTTTGGGCCTGTGCCCGCCACCCGAGGTCCCAAACATGGACAACGCGTCTCGGACCGGTGCCATGCGAGACCCGACTTTTCCTTTAGTAGTGTGTAGAAAGAGAATCGATAAAGAGGTGGAGGAATGAGTTCTTTCGTGAAAACCTAACAAAACGACAAAACCTCACATTTTTTATAGAATGAAAAAATAAAAGTCAAACTGTTATTTTTTACACAAAAAGAAGACGTTTTTAAAAGTTTTTCGATAAAGGAGGCAAAAAACGAAGTGAAAAGTCATTCGTTTCTCACAATGTACAAGAAAACCCTTTTTTGCAAGATCCTTTTATATGGGTGTAAGTCATTCTCATTAGATTTGCAAAAAACAAAACTCAAATATAACAATTTTTAAGGACTACAAGGCAAACTTGAAAGATGTAGAAAAAAATAGATTTTTGTGAATACTTATTTATAGAACTATAAATAATTTCTAGTAGTTAGGTAAGAACCAAGATCTGCGAAAACTAATTTATAGGACTATAAATCAATTTTGACGTTAACAATAAAACCCTTAGCAAAAAATATATGTTATTTAAAATAAGAATACAAACAACTTCTGTCAGAGAGACACCTTTAAATTCTTAGCCAAACGCGAGTGTAAACTTAAAAAAAAATGGAAAAAAAATAAAATAAACAGTAAAAAATAATATGTTCGCTCAGGTATTAGAGAATATGTTTGTGCTCATGTTTGAGTGTTCGAAAAAAACCCGAATACGTTCATCGTGCTATACATTTTATAGGATTATAAACATGATTTTTTTAGATAACAAAAAAATGAGATATTTCAGTTATTGAACATATGCTATTTCACCAGGTAGTGATTTTATGTGGAAAAAACCTGCTTTTCTCCTCGCCACTTCCAGCGGTTCTCAAAAAGTAATTTTTTTTTTTTTTTTTTGCGGTTGTTTTACTTCACTTAGGATTTTGTTCCTAGAGGAGGCCTGAAAAACGTACTATCATAATCTTGAATACATTTCGTGCAAACCTAACAATTTGTGTTGTTAGGCTTTCACCTATGTTGCATAGAGTACACATACGGGGCCTTTCCGTATGAAACGTACAGGTCATTTTTGTACGGGATCTGTACGGGAAACTATACGGGAACATGTACGTCTTGTACGCCCCCCTACGAAAAAAATAAAATAAAATAATAATAATAAATAAAGTCATTAAAAAAATCAAAAAAAAAAAAAAAGTGATTCACATGAGAAATAAAAGTTGAAAAAACATTCCATAAAAAAAAAAATCCTTCATATTTATGAATTATCATTCCAATGTTTGTCCAATTCTAAAATTTTCAATTCAATTTGATAAGTTCCCGTCTAAATATGAGCTTTCCTTTCCAACTACATCTAGTTGTTCAAGATGGAATGAAAGTCTGGGCGAGTTTATGAAATATTTTAATTAGACTTTCATTCTAATACAACAAATATCGTATAATTTAGATTGGATTAACCTATTTATGACTGAAAATCCGTACTTAGAATGGCGGTCCAATTAAAATATTTCATGAACTCATCCAGACTTTCATTCCATTTCTAGCATGCAGTTCAAATAAGAAGGGATACCCCATTCTTGGAAGGAAAATTTTCAAGTAAGACAAAAAAATTTAAAATTGGAATGACATTTTTAAAGATGAAATGAAAATTTAAAATTTAGAATGTAATTTTATTCTAGAATGATTATTTAATTCTGGAATTTTTTTTTGTTGTAACACAAAACAAGCAACATTTGACTGAGCATCATCTTCAGATTCTGATTAGAATTTGAGAAAAAAAATAAAAATAATATCGGATTAAAAAAAAAAAAAAAACCTCGTACGGGGCCCCTAACGTACGAGTACAAGAGTACGAATCTGTACTCGTACGAGGGTGCGTACAAGTGGCAACGCAGGTTTTGACGAATCCTGTGTTGGGAGAGAAATCGCCAAAAGTTGGAGCCAGTAAAATTGTTCAAAGATTTAACACGAGAGAGTGAAGAGGGACGATAAGAAATAGCATCATGATTGAATGTCATGGGTAGCTGCCAGCTTGGGAATGATAGATATGCACTGAATGTGGACGAAAAATTGGAAGGATAACTTATATAGGTATGGATCTAGGTGCAACACTTAGTGATGATATAATTAACAACAGAGGCAGAATGTTCTAAAAGTGCGATAAATTATGTTAGAAAGACTGCAGTTGGTTTGGGACTGAGAATGAACATTTAGTCATATTTGAATCTACTACGACTCTATTCGACGATGAATTTGTGATTCGCTCGTGGCAGAAAACGTTAAATGAGACAAAAAGTATACTGAAAGATCGAGCTAGCGAGTCTGGGGATGCAATGGGGAATTATTGAAGGTCATAGTAGACAGAGCTACCCTTATAACATTAGAGGCTCACACGAGATATCGCCGAGAGATATTAAAAACTTTGCAAGCGGGGGACGACATAGGTGATTACACAAAATTTTAAGCGCTCTTCTTTCTCTTAAGAGCATCATCAGAAAGAATGTTATCGGATGTATACTAAAAAGGACGCTACAACGTGAGGAGCGAGTTGGAAGAGATATATAACAAAGATGAACAGATATGAGTTCCTGCAAGAAGATATATCATGAGGAACTAGCAACAAGGAGGTGGGAATTCCCGAAAGGTAGGGCATCACGTGAACAGGAGGTCGAAAAAGTTATGCGATGTTTTCACAGTATTGGTAGGAGAAAAGTTTTCCCATATGAAGTTGTGAGATATGAGGTAGCAGAAAGTAGTTGGGAAAAAAATCATTTTTTGTGAAGGGAGTGTATTTCCTAGAGTAAGACATATATCACATTGAAATTTATCTGCCAAAGAGAAAATAAATAATTCTGTCAGTATTCGAGATGTTGGAGGATAGCTGTCTCGAAACTTAGAGAATAACTTGAAAATAAGAAGCTTCAAAAGTTCGGTGAGTGTGCTATCTTGAGTGATTGGATTGTTATATTCGACAAGTTACCTAAACATCTGACTCGAGAGGAAGGGCTGAAACGAAATGGATGGGAGACAATTATAAACTTCGTTAGGACAATCAGAGTAGCGACTTACCGTAAGAAAGTCATCTAGTAGATGAAAGAGGATAAAGAGGGGAGGAATCCACCAGATCGGATGAGAACCTTAGGTCCGGGTTGGCGGCCTTAACTTTAGGTCTGGGCTGGTGACTACCCATTATTTCAAATTGTTCGATCTTATCTGTTTAGGTGTATGGATCAAACACGATGGGATCACATCCAACTATGGACTATCGATCGAGCGTGTATCAGGCTTCACGGGATTGAGCTTTACGAGATCTCAAGAAGTGAATCAGACAGAATGCGCCCTTGAGATGTATGGATCCACTGGATGATGGAGAGCCCGAAGTTCTTAGTGGGTCGATCGTTGCAGACACCGGTGTATAAGCGAAGGAAGACCATAGAAGACAGACAGAGGGATGACTGGAGAGACCAGTACGTTGGGGAGCAGGTCTCACGGGATCGAGATAGGGCGACAAAGAGGACATCTCCTCGACGGATCTATGATCCAAACATACACTCTTATATACAACATTTATATTGTAGAGTATAATGGTGGGGATCATTCGTACAACATAACAACAATAGTGTGTATGTATGGTAAATAAATCATGGTCACAAAAAAACACATTTACACACATAAGTGATATTGGAAAGAGTTCAAATGCTAACAACATGCAATCCCATTATCGTGTGAATGGCAGATCATTACACGTCCAAGGTGAACGTCAATGTAAATACGGGTGAACTATTCAATTAGCAGCGCCCGCATTACCGGGTCGGAAGAAGATGCATTGCGTCTGTGAGAAAATAAGTTCAATCA